GACCATGTACCTTTCATAAATATTAATGCAAAGTGGATCATAGACCTAAATGTAAAATGCAAAACTATAAAACTTCTAGAAGATAATATAGGAGAAAATCTGGGTGACCTTGGGTTTGGCAATGAGGTTTAGATACAGCACCAAAAGCATGCTCCATGAAAGAAAGAATTGATAAGTTGGAATTAATTAAAATTAAAATGCTCTGTGAAAGTTACTGTTAAGAGAATAAAAAGAGAAAATATTTGTAAAGTAGATATCTGATAAAGGGCTTTATCTGAAATATACAATGAACTCTTAAAACTCCACATTACAAAAACAACCCAATTGAAAAAAGGGCTAAAAATCTGACCAGACACTTCACCAAAGAAGGTATACAGGTGTCAAATAAGCATAAGAAGAGATGCTCACATCGTATGTCATTAGGGAACTGCAAATTAAAACAACAATGAGATACCACTGTACACCTATTAGAATGGCTAAAATCCAAAAAAAAACAGCAACACCAAATTCTGACGAGGATGTGGAGCAGCAGGAACTCTCATTCATTGCTGGTAGGAATGCAAAATGGTACAACCACTTTGGAAGACAGTTTGGCAGTTTCCTACAAAATTAAATATGTTATTTTACAAAGCTATTTATAAATAAAAATATGTATTTAGCTATTTCTTGTAAAACTAAACATACTCTTATCATATGCACCAGCAATTAAACTTCTTGGTATTTACCAAATTGAGTTGAAAACTTATGTCCACACAAAATCCTGCACATGAATGTTTATAACAACTTTATTCACAGTTGTCAAAACTTGGAAGCAATCACGATACCCTCAGATAGATGAATGGATAAATGGATTATTATTTAGTGACAAAAAGAAAGGAGATATCATGCCCCAAAAGACATGGAGGGACCTTAAGTGAACATTGCTAAGAGAAAGAAACCAATCTAGAAAGGCTATTTAGTGTGTGATTCCAACTGAACGACATTCTGGAAAAGGCAAACTCTACAGTAGGAAGATCAGTGGTTGCCGGGGGGCAGGGGTGAATAGGTGGAGCACAGGTTATTTTTAGGGTGGTGAATCTATTCTGTGTGATACTGTAATGGTGGACACATGATATTATGGATTTGTCAAAACCTATAGGATGTATAACACAGGAGTAAACCATAACGTAAACTGTGGAATTTATTTAATAAAAAAACCAAAACATAAAAATCTATCATCATGAAACATTACACAAACATGTGGTTTATTATAGGCCAATTTTGCCTCAAAAAAGCTGTTAAAAAACAAAACAAAATTTTTGTCTGAGCCACTCCTTCTGTGACAAAGTGGTAACCTCTGAGCTCCCAGGCACACTGTCTTCAGTTGTTGGTTCCCTGTGAATAGATAGCAGTGGTGTCTCCTCTTTCACATGCAGTATAACCATCTCTGTCGGGCCTCCCTGAGCCAGAGGCCGACAAAACCGAGCGGGAAGAGACCCCGGTCC